CATCTAGATGCAATGATGGGTCTCTCCTCATCCAGAGCAAAGAAGAATGAAGAAAACCAAAGATTCATGGAAACAATTAGTCCTAGTGAATGGTACACCATGTGATCTGCAGCCTATACAACTATTGGACCAGAAGAGCTAGATGGTGCCCGGCTACCACTACCAACCACTCAGAGGGGGACCTATGTAGGAGATCCTGGATAGAGAGGGAGAAAAATGTGGAACAAAACTCAAAATCATTTGGAAAAAAGAAGGGGGTGACCAGTTTTGCTGGTCTGATAGAGGCTGGTGGAACCACTGACCCTATGGCCCCTAGCTGCCCTTCAGGTCTGGAATTGAACACACACCTGGGGCTTCCAGCCAAAAAAAGATAGGCATGTGGGTTGAACATTTACCTGAGACAGATACACTCCTTGGAGAGAACAAGCATGGGAAAAAGAAGGGCTGCTTACGCACAGGGAGACAGCTCAGGGGACAGGAGTGCATGAAGGGATGGGCACAGGGAAGCAGTAACTATCGGGAAGAAGTGGGAGGGGAGCTGTTGCATTGGGGCAAATTGTAGTCAATGTCATGAGACAAAGTGTATGTGAACTGCTGTATTGAAACTGAATTTTCTCTGTAAATTTTCACCCAAATCACAATTAAAAAAAAAAAAAAATTACAGCCAAGAGAGCCCTAAATGTACAGTAAACACACAGAGCATATTTACTCTGTAACACATGGGGTCACCACGAGCTGGGGGTCGACTTCATAGCAGTTAACAATAACAATAGCAGCCTGAGTCTTGACAAATGCATGTCATTTAACCACAACCACAATTAAGATATGAAACAGATCCATCACCTCAGAAAACTCCCTTATGTCCACTTGTAATCAATCTCCCTTCTCACCCCTTGTTCTTGACATCTGTTTTTGATCCCTATAGTATTGATTTTTCTAGAATTATTCAGTATGTAATCTTTGAATCAGGATCCCTGATAATGGTAACGTGCCTGACTGTGAATTGAAAGGTTTGTGGTTTGAACCCGTCCTGTGGTTTTGTGGGGGAAAGATCTGATGATCTGCTTCTGTAAAGATTAACAAAAAAAAAAAAAAGAAGAAGAAAGAAAAAACCCACTGCCATCAAAGCCATCAAGTCTATTCCAATTCATACTGGCCCCTATAAGGTTTCCAAGGCTATAAATCTTTGCAGAAGTAGATTGCCCCATCTTTCTCCCATGAAGCAGCTGGCAGGTTTCAGCTGCTGATCTTCTGGTTAATAGTCAAATGCTTTATCCACTGTGCCACCAGAGCTCCTTCTTGTAAAGATTACAGCCTAGAAAACCACATTAGGTTACTATGAGTCCCCTTCTTTCATTCAGCATAACAAATTTGAGACTCAATCATGCTGTGTATATCCACAGTTCATTCCTTTTTATTGTATAGATGTACCGTACTACAATTTGTTTATCCATTCACTAGTTGAAGAACGCTTACCTTGTTTTCAGGTTTGGGTAATTGTGAATAAAACCACTATAAACATTCATGTTCAGGTTTCTGTGTAAACATAACTTTCCAATTCATTTGGGGGAATACACAGGAGTGGGTCATGTCATAAGTGCATGTATAACGTTATAAGAAACTACCAACCTGTTTTCCAAAGTGTCTGATCTGTTTTGCAATCACACCAGAAAGGTTCTTCATTGATGATGCTCCAGATGCCCTTCATCCTTGCTGACACTTGGTATTATCAATTTTACTTTTAGGCTTTCTAATTGATTTGTGGTGGTATCTCATCATGGTTTCAATTTGCATCTTGTTAATGATTGATGGTGTTGAGCATCTTTTCATATGCTTAGTTGACATCTATACATTTTCTTTGCTGAAGTGTCTGTTCAAATCTTGGGTTCTTGTCATGGATTGAATTGTGCCCCCAAAAGATATGTGTTGTAAATCCTCACCCCTATACCTGTGGCGACAATCCCATTTGGGAAGGAGTTTTCTTTATTATGTTAATGAAGCTGTATACTGTAGGGTGTGTCTTAAATCAATCTCTTTTAAGATAAAAAAGAGCAGATTGACCAAGCAAGTAGAGAAGTTAGAAGTGATGTCACATGAAGATCACCAAGAAGCCAAGGAAGAGAAGCTGAAAAGAGACTTCCTCCAGGGCTAAGAGAGAGAAACCCTTTGCCTAGAGCCAGTGCCCTGAATTTGGACATCCAGCCTCCAAAACTGTGAGAAAACAATTTTCTGTTCATTAAAGCCCCCCATTAATGATATTTCTGTTACAGCAGCACTAGATGACTAAGACAGCCCCCTCCAACAGTTTTTTTGGTTTGTTTTCCTATTATTGAGTTTTGAGAGTTTGTACATATCCTGAATACAAGCCCTTAATTAGATAAGTGTTTTGCAAAAAAATTTCTCCCAGGTTGTGGTTTGTCTTTTCATTCTCTTGTTTTTATTTCTCTTTATTTTAAAACAAAAATACAAAACAAAACAACTTTATTTTGAGCTCATTGTAGATTCACAGGCAATTGTAAGAAATACTACAGAGAGATCTATTATGTCCTCCCCAAGTCTCCCATGATAGTAAACTCTTGCATAACTATAGTAAAATATCACAACCAGGGAATTGCCATTGATACAATCCTTCTATCTTATTCACTAGTTTGATACGCACTCCTTTGTGTATGTGTGTGCGTATTTTGTTCTACGCAGTTCTATCACATCTGTAGATTCACATGACCACCATCACCACAGTCAAGACACAGAACAGCCCATCACAAGGTCCCTTTTATAGCCATAGGCATTTCAACCTCCTCCCCAATTCCCTAACCCCTGGCAACCACTAATCTGTATAATCTCTGTAATTTTCTCATTTCAAGAATGTTACAGAAATGCTAGCAAGCTGCCATCTAGATGCAACGATGGGTCTCTCCTTGTCAAGAGCAAGGAAGAAAGAAGAAAACCAAAATTAATGGAAACAATTAGTCCTAGCGACTGGTACACCATCTGATCTGCAACCTATACAACTATGAGACCAGGAGAACTAGATGGTGCCCGGCTACCACTTTCATCTACTTGGAAGGGGATCTATGTAGGAGATCCTGGATAGAGAGGGAGAACAATGTGGAACAAAACTCAAAATCATTTGGAGGCAAAAAAAAAAAAAAAAGAAGGTGGGGACCAGGTTTGCTGGTCCAATAGAGCCTGGTGGGACCACTGAGACTATGGCCCCTAGCTGCCCTTCAGGTCTGGAATTGAACCCACACCTGTGGTTTCCAGCCAAACAAAGTATAGGCATGTGAGTTAAACATTTACCTCAAGTAGACACACGCCTTGGAGAGAATAATCATGGGAGAAAGAAGGGCTGCTTATGCACAGGGAGACAGCTCAGGGGGCAGGAGCGTATGGAGGGATGGACACTGGGAAGAGGTAACTATGGGGAGGAAGTGGGAGGGGAGCTGTTGCATTGTGGTAAACTGTGGTCAATGACATGAGACAAAGTATATGTGAACTGCTGTATGGAAAGTGAATTTGCTCTGTAAATCTTCACCCAAATCACACACACACACACACACAAAGAATGTTACAGAAATGGACTCATACAGTATGTAACCTTTAAGTCGGGCTTCTTTCACTCACCCTGTAAATTCATCCAAGTTGTTGCATGTATCAGAAGTTCCTTCATTTTTATTGCTCAGTAATATTCCACAATTTATTTAATTATTCATCCATTGAAAAATATCTGGATTGCTTTCAGTTTGGGGCTATTATGAATAAAGCTGCTGTGAAGACTTAGGTTTGTATGTGAACACAAATTTTCGGTTTTCTGGGATAAATCCCCAAGGGTGCAATTGCTGGGTCAGATAGTATTGCAATGTACACAATCGTAAAAACTTGCCCAACTGTTTTCCATAATGGCTATACCATCATACATTATACATTACATATTCTTACCAGCAATGATTGAGTGATCCAGTTTCTCTGCATCCTTACCAGCATTTGGTGTTGTCATTTAAAAAATTTTTTATTCTGGCTATTCTGATAGTTACATAATGATTTCTCATTGGGTTTTAACGACAATCATCTTTTCATGTGCTAACCGCGCCTTTTGAGGAACACAACCTTTCTTGATGTGGCCGTTATGTGGGAAATAGTTCCCCATCCTCCAGTTTTGTCACCTTCCAAAATATTCTCAGAGGTAGAACGGGTACCCTTCCACAGAACCTGTGCTTATCCACCCATAGTATAGCCCGTATCCTTCAATTTTAATTTCCTGCTGAACATCAAAAGTTGGCAGTTCAAACCCACCAGCTGCTCTGTGAGAGGAAGATGAGGCAGTCTACTTCTGTAGATTTACAGTCTTGGAAACCCTATGGGGGCAGTTCTACCTTGTCCTATAGTGTCCCTATGAGTCGGAATCAACTTGAAGGCAACGCGTTTTGTTAGACGTGACCTTTAAGCAGGCGGAGGCAGTTTTGCTTAACTCAGGATCCCCCAGCTAGCAAACTGCACATCACAGATAGAATGACTTAGTACTAAAGAGACATGAGAGCACAGAAAAGAATGAGGTAAGGAACAGGGAATGCATGTCTGCCGCCCCATTTAACCACGGTTCAGACCAGATCTGGCGTTAAACCCAGAGCCCAGCGCCTAGGTCAGACGCGTGCGCAGCTTCTCTTGTCAGTCCCGTCCCAACTCCGCCCCTCCGACCTTCCGTCTGGCCACGTCCGCCGGCCAATTAGGGAGAGGAGGCGGGGTCCTGGTTGTCGCGATGCTACTTGGGTAGTGTCCCTAGTTACTGTTGCTAAGAGTGCGGGTCACTGGGAATCACAAGTTTTTTAGTAGCCAGAACCTGAGAGAGGTCAAGGGTCAGTGCAGAGCCGAGGAGGAGATGGTGAAGCAGACGATCCAGATTTTCGCGAGGGTGAAGCCCACTGGCCGGAAGCACCAACAAGGGGTACGGGCCGGAGCAGCTGGGGCGCCGGTGCGGCGGGGCCTCCCGGGCCGGGGGAGGAGCGGCACGCGAGGGGCCTGGTCCGCGGTGAGGGGCTTCTATCAGGCGCCGGATCCTGCAGAAATACTCAGACTTAGGTTTTAGCATTGGGCAAACCATGTGTAAGCAAGAGATGCAAGTTCGTACATGTCTGTGATGATGCAGGTAGAGATAGAGGTGCACAAAGCACACGTATATGGGCCCTCAGTAATTTGTTCACCAACTGCATTGTCGTTCTGTAACATAAGCATGAACTTTCACATACATTCATTGCAGAAACATTAACTGAACAGAATCTAGAGGGTATAAAGAATGGCCCTTGCTCTAACCAAGACCCTTGCTCTATTTTGTTTCTTTTTGTTATTAGTTGCAGTCGAGTCTGTTCCAACTCATTATAACCCCATGCACAACAGAACGAAACACTGGCCACTCTGTGCCATCCTCACAATCCTTGCTATACTTGAGCCCATTGTTGCAGCCACTGTGTCTGGCCATTTTGTAGAGGGTCTTCCCCAGTGATCCTCTGCTTTACCAAGCATGATATCCTTCTCCAGGGACTGATCCCTTCTGACAACATGACCAAAGTAGGTGAGATGAAGTCTGGCCCTTCTTGCTTCTAAAGGAGCATCCTGGCTCTCCTTCTTCCAAGACAAATTTGTTCCTCCTTCTGGCAGTCCGTGGTATGTTCAGTAATCTTTGCCAACACCACAGTTTAAATGCATTAGTTTCTTAGATGTGTCAACACATTGTTTTCTCTGCTTGGAAGAGGACATAGTCATTCTTTACACTTCTTGAAAAATTTCCACTTGACAGACACTTTATTTACATTACGTTGTTGTCATTTATCTCATTTTATAAATGAGGAAAAGGAGTGTCACATAGATTAAATAATAATGTTAAATAATGTAGCCAAGCCATCCAGCTGGTGGGTGGCAGAGTTGTCATTTTAATAAAGGTCCTTTGATTCCAGTTATTTGTTTTTCTGACAAAACCTTTTGCCTTCTAAAGTGAGGATTAATGCAGAAGCAATTTGGATAATATTGATGAGTGCCTGGAATGGGCATATTATTAATAATATTTTATCCCTGTCCCAAATCTTTACTTTCCTGTCCATATGTAATATCATCTCATGAAAAAAAAACAAACTCACTGCCATGGGGTCGGATCCAACTCATAGTGACCCCTCCTTGGGTTTCTGAGGTCGTATCACTACGGAAATAGATTGCCCAATCTCTTAATTTAGTATTTTCCTAATGTAATTTATGTGTTTAAAACAAGGAGAATATAGTGTCTTCATCATCATCACCCATCATTTCACTCATGGAATACATTTAGAAGAAGGAGCATGAGAAGATTCCAAAGAAAATACTAGCTTTTTTAAGAATAAAGCAATGTGGAAATGGACCAATGGGATTTTCCCATTTTATAGGAGGTCTGGTAGTGTAGTGCCTAAGACACTTGACTGCTAACCAGAAGGCTGGCGGTTCAAAACCACCAGCCACTCCTCGGAAGGAAGATGGGGCAATCTACTTCCGTAGTGATACTGCCTTGGAAACCCAAGGAGGGGTCGCTATGAGTTGGGTCCGACTCAATGGCCCATAACAACAACATAAACATTTAAGGTGCTCTGGTAGCACAGTGGTTAAGGTACACAACCAAAAGATTAGTAGTTCTACTCTTGTCCTATAGGGTCACTGTAAGTTGGAATAGACTCAGTGGCAGTGGGCTTGGGTTTGGGATATACACACAAGAAGTGTGTTTAAAAGTGCACCCCCCAAAAAATTGCATCATATGTAACTTCCTTCCCACCCCCATATTCTTAGCTAAAAATGTTGAACTTAGTCTACACAGGCTCAGCAGTGAGAAGCAGGTGCTTAAAAACGTAAAGTAAGAGGATGAGTTGGGGTGTGTGGGGGTGTGTATGAGAGAGGGTTGATGGAAAGTCTTATATTTAATATTGAACTTTCTCTTTTCTTAAAATGCAATGTTTGGATATTTTCGTGTGCCTTCTTTCACATTTCTTTAATGAGAGCTTATGGAATGGATGTTTTGATTCTTTAGGAGTTATTTTCACATGTCCTATTGTATTTTCATAGGAGCTCTGGTGGCATAGTGCCTAAGGCATTTGACTGCTAACCAGAAGGCTGGCGGTTCAAACCCTCCAGCCACTCCTCGAAAAGAAGGTTGAGCAATCTACTTCCATAGTGATACCACCTCGGAAACCCAAGGAGGGGTTGCTATGAGTTGGATCTGTCTTGACGGCAGTGAGTTTTGTTTTGGTTTTTATTGTATTTTCATAATGTCAGATTCTCACTGAGGTGCAATGTTGTGCTATACACACACACACTCTCACACACACAAAGGTGAGAATATGGATGAATAAGTAATGAATTAGTGTATTCATCCTCTCCCTTAGAAAGCCCATGTTTTACTTTTTTTTAATTGTGATTTGGGTGAAAATTTACAGAGAAAATTCACTTTCCATACAGCAGTTCACATACACTTTGTCTCATGACATTGACCACAATTCACCATAGTGCAACAGCTCCCCTCCCACTTCCTCCCAATAGTCACCTCTTCCCTGTGTCCATCCCTCCATGCACTCCTGCTCCCTGAGCTGTCTCCCTATGCATAAACAGCCCTTCTTTCCCCCATGATTATTCTCTCCGAGGAGTGTACCTACCTCAGGTAAATGTTTAGCTCCTATGCCTGACTTTTGCTTGACTGGAAGCCACAGGTATGGGTTCAGTTCCAGACCTGAAGGGCAGCTAGGGGCCATAGTTTCAGGGATTCTACCAGGCTCTATCAGACCAGCAAACCTGGTCCCCCCCTTTATTTTTCCAAATGCTTTTGAGTTTTGTTCCAGATTGTTCTCCCTCTCTATCCAGGGTCTCCTACATAAATCCCCTTCCGAGTAGTTGACAGTGGTGAAAGCCCATGTTTTAGCACTGTATCTTTTTGTGCCCCAAAATTGTATGGATGTTTCTCTTACTCTAAACCAAGAGTGATTCAAAGGTATTTTCTTTCTTTCCTCTTAATTTTATGACTTCTTCATGTAGTTATTTCTTAAGGTATAATAAAATACATTATAATTATTTATAGATTAATGAAGAATATATGTAAGATGAGCCTCTGTGATGATTGTAACAATGATATACCTTTCTTTTGTACAGTGCTTTGTACCTTTCAATTTTTTTTTCATAATCATCACTGAATTTGTTCTGATTGTCTTCTATTCTAAAAAAGAATGACCTTATCTCAAATAATAGCTATTATGTGACTCAGAAAAGACAGCCAAGATATTACACTGAACAAGTTTTCTGGTCCTAAGGGGATTTTCTTAATGTTCCAAAGAATGGCTTAGTCGGTGTGAGGGAGGGTCACTGTGCCTGTCTGGCTTGGTTCACCTTTCTGTCTTATGTGGGTTTGGCTGACTTTGGTCTTCTGAGCACTGAGTAATACACAATGGCATCCCTCACTGATGTGTGTTTCATGACTTACACACCCCTTTCACTCACCTATTGAGCCATGAAACATTTTTTTATTATAGTGGTCTGCAGAATATAATTTTTAAATGTCTCTTGAGAAAACCTAGCCTTGAACCTGATGCCTTTACTATCTACAAACAATTTCATTTCATAGGATGACTTTTCTGCATAGAGTCTTCACATTTTAAGTGAGAGGATTCAATAAAAATATGCTTAGGAAAATTATTCAGACTTTGTGGAGATTTAGGTAGGCTTTTACTTGCTTAAGAATATGACTTTTCCCCCATAATCAAACATCTAAATGGTTCTTAAACAGGAAGTATTGCCTGTTAGAAAGAATTTTATTTCCTGATGAAAGACAAGAAGTCTTTTTTAAAAACCTCTAAATCTAATGACTAACATTTTTATGGTGCATTACAAAATGCTTCCATTTCCATTACATCATTTGATCCCTATAGCAATCTTGTGAGGGAGGCAATTCTGTTTTCTTCATTTTATGTATAAGGAACTGAGAGTCTGAAAGCAATGACTGGCCCCACAGCTGGTGAATTGAGCTCAGCGTTGGACCCAGGGCTTTTGAGATCAAACCTTATGCTTTTGCTTATTTCACATAACCTCTTTATAAGTTTGACTCTTGATTTCCTGGCTGATAACTAGAGGAGTAAGTAACCAAGAAGAGAATCAGAGAATGATACAGTTGTAAGGGTGTTGGGTAAGACCCTCTTTCCATAAAAGCTCAGAGAGGTTAAGTGATTTACCTTAGGTTACATGCCAATTAGTGGTTCAGCTGGGATGAGAATCTTGAAAAAGGCATCAAAGAAATGTATTATATGTGTCTTTTGAAACCACATGGCTTTTATTAAGTGCCTGACTATGTCTTATGGAAGCTTGGGGTTCTTTGAACATAACTTGAATTAGATCATTCTTACAAGTTCTCTGAGAAAGCTCAGAATTAGTCCTTTTATCTCTGTGTCTAACATTTTATAACTGTTCAGAAATATTTGTTGGATGCAGTAAAATGGTAATTTCTGATATACAACCCCAAAGCAATAATTAAGTACTGTCTTACTATCAGGTTTCTCAACAACCGAGGCGCTCACATTCAAATTTGAATCTTAGATCATTCGAAAATGATCCAAGCTTTGAGAAAACATTTATTTAGGATTTGTTTCTTGTTCAATTCTATATATTTGTTTGAACCCACACACTGTTCAAAGAGAAAAATTATCTGAGATATACTACATTATGACTTTTAATCTTAAAAATACAATTTGTAAACCATTGTAATACACATCATAATACCACATCATAGGTCAAGCTATAATTTTGGCCTTTGTTACTCATTTTTTGTGTTCATATTTACAGATTTATTCTATAGATGAAGATGAAAAATTAATACCTAGCTTGGAAATTATCTTACCACGTGATTTGGCAGATGGATTTGTGAATAATAAGCGAGAAAGCTACAAATTTAAGTAAGTTTATCTTCCTCCTTTGCTTCTGTTTTATTATTGAACCAACTCTGGTACAGGATTAATGTGTACTATGAAGTCACTGGTACGATTTCTTGTGGTGAATGTAGTGTGGTTCTCTATCTCATTTTAGTAGATAGAATTCAAATCACCTTTTCACAGTTGGGCCCAAGGTTGAAAAGAAGATGTATTTCCATATCTAAGATCACAATCCAAGAACCCAGACTGTCTTTGCTACTGCTGTTTATCCAGTATTGTCCTTTTTTCCTACTTGGCCAGCCGCTCTGTGGAAGGAAGATGGGCAATCTGCTTCTGTAAAGATTTACCACCTTGGAAACCCAGTGGGGGTTGCTATGAGTTGGAATCTACTCGATGGCAGTGAGTTTGGTTTTTGAGTTTGGCTCACTATATTTTAGCACTTACAGGAAGCTCAGTGCATGAATAAATTTTATAAACAGCAATTTAAAGTACAATCTGTGTCCCATACAGGGGAGTTTTCTCTATAATGTCTTTATATATGTGACACATGAACTCCTGTTCACTTAAGTACATACTACATCTGTATAGTCCAGTAAGTAGTCACAATCCACATGTGGATCTTGAGCACTTGAAATATGGCTAGTCCACATTGAGACATGTTGTGATTTTGAAGGCTTAATATAAAAAAAATTGAAGATATTTCAAGATTTTTTTTCAAAGTGAGCACATATTACAGTGATAGTATTTTCCATATATATCAAGTTAAATAAAATATATTATGAAATTAGTTTCACCTGTATCTTTTTATTTAATGTGGCTACTAGAAAATTTAAAATTAAATATGTACTCATGTTTGGGTGTTGGATTCTATGGAATAGGATGGTTTTATGGTTCCGGTGAAAAGCACCAAATGGCGACCTCTGGATGGTCATTGTTGTTGTTGTTGTTGTTGTGTGCTGTCAGGTCAACTTTGAATCATAGTGATCCTATAGGTCAGAGGAGAGCTGCCCCTTAGGGTTTCCAAGGCTGTAATCTTTATAGAAGTAGACTGCCACATCTTTCTTCTGAGGAGCAGGAGGTGGGTCTGAACCACTGACCTTTTGGTCATCACTTCAATACTTAACCAGCAGGGCTCCTTAGAACTGCCCTTTGTGCCTTTGATCTGTATACTCTTCTAGTAGTCAAGAGTGAATTTGGAGATTATGACTATGTCATAAGGAGCTCTGGTGGTGTAGTGATTAAGGCATCTGGCTACTAACCAAAAAGTCAGTGGTTCAAACCCACCAGCTGATCTGCAGAAGATAGAGGAAACAGTCTTCTTCTGTAAATACTTACAGCCTTGGAAACCCAATAGGGGTTCCTATGAGTTGGAATCGACTCAATGGCAGTGATTTTTTTTTTTTTTTTTTTTTGATTATGCCCTATTCTTTATTCTCCAGTTTTGGATTGAACCATTTCCTTTATTTACCACTTTTGATTTTTTGAGATGTTTGAGCCCATATTAAACCTGTGCTTGCCCTCTGATGCAGAGGATTTCTGGGTCCTGATGTTGTTGTTGTTATGTGCCGTCGAGTCGGACCCGACTCATAACGACCCCTCCTTGGATTGCCAAGGCAGTATCACTACGGAAGTAGATTGCCCCATCTTCCTTCCGAGGAGTTGCTGGTGGGTTTGAACCACCAGCCCTCTGGTTAGCAGTCTAGTGCCTTAGGCACTGTGTTACCAGAAGTCCTGATGAGGGAATCCTAAATGTTCTCCTACATTTCTCTGTAGGCTGTGTTTTACGTAGGCCCTGTTTTAAGACTATTCCTTCCCTTTGGCCCTTATATAAAACCATTCCATATATTTTACATGGCTTTTGTCCTTCTATTTAAAAAAAATTCTTATTTGCTCTTAGGCTTTTTTTGTCTCATAAAGAATCTTTCTTCAGTCTTTACAACTCCACACTTTGTCTGTCTCTCATGTATATATGTCTCTCCCCGAACCTTCTTCTTATCATATCCCCTTTACAATAAGTACAAGCAGGAATTGCTAGCACATGGTTACATAATAAACATAGTCTTCCCTGGTCTTTGTAACTCCTCCCATTGTCTTTCAAATGGAATCGTGTTGAATAAAATGGTTGGCAAATTATGGCTTTATATAGACTGGCCTAAGCAAGTTGCCTGGAAGTCTTAGCAACTGAGGTATGCATGTAGCAGCTATATATCGGTGGGACAATGCCCCCTTCACAAAAAGTACATTATGTATTAATTATAGGCTACTCTCTATATGGAGTGTATATACATATATATAGATGGAGTATGTATATATATATATATATATATATATATATATATATATATATTATATATATGGATGGAGCATATATATAATATATATATGGAGTAGCCTATAATTAATACATAATGTACTTTTTTGTGTCCTTGATAAACACATGCTACATACATACCTTAGTTGCTATGACTTCTAGGCAGCTTGCTTAGGCCAGTCCTTTTAAAGTAATAATTTGCTGAACATTTTATTCAGCACAATTCCATTTAATTATTAGGAAACAATTGACCATAGCTCTGTCTATTGGCTTTTTCCAAAGTTGTCATTGAATTATGTAGATACAAATAGAGTGCTTCTAAACACATATGCCTATTGAAAAATACCACTTGCTTATTTTTAAGTCTCTGAATTATTCTTTCTAAATCTCTGAATCAAAAATACTGGTTTTAACATTTAAAATAAAGAAATTAATAAAATACATATATAGTATGTTCCGACATAAAGTTTAAGCATCTTAGAGGATAAATATTTAAGCATCTTACAGGATGTTTTACTCTCAAGCAAAATCATTTAATCAATAATAATTAATATTGCCCAATGCAATAGGTCTGATGTCTTGATCACCTACTATGTGCTATTATATAGATCACGAATATAGCAGAGGACACAAAAAATTCCCTCTCATACAGAGCTTACAGTTTTCATGAGATGAGAAAGGAAAACAGATAAATAAGTAAAATACATTGTATGTCAAAAAGTGATAAATGCCATGGAGACAAATAAGGCAGGGTAGGGAGTAATAAGGAGTGCTGGCATGAGGGACGGCAGAGGGGAGGATGGTTGTAATATTTAATAGGAGAGTTAGGGAAGGTGCTACAGTAAAGATGACATTTTAGCAAAGATAAGAGGGAGGTGAGGAAGCCAGCCACTCAAATATCTGAGAGATGAGAATTCCAGGCAGAGGGAATAGCAAGTGCAAACTCACTGAGGTGAGAAAGTGCCTGGCATGTTTGAGGAATAGCAGAGGGATCTTTGTGGGTGGGGTTGAGTAAATAAGGGGGAGAGGGGAAGATAGGTCAGAGATGTAGCAAGGGAGACAGATCTTATGTTGCTGTTGTTGTTAGGTGCTGTCGAGTAGTCTCCAACTCACGGTGACCCTGTGTACAACAGAATGAAACACTGCTTTGTTCTGTGCCAGCCTCATGATTCTTGCTATACCTGAGCCCATCATTGAATCCCTGTGTCAATCCATCTTGTTGAGGGCCTTCTCCTTTTTTGTTGACCCTCCACTTTACCAAGCATGATATCTTTCTCTAGGGAATGGTCCGTTCTGACAACATGACCAAAGTAGATGATGAAGTCTGGCCATTCTCGCTTCCGAGTAGCATCCCAGCTGCACTTCTTCCAGGACAGATTTGTTAGTTCTTTTAGCAGTCTATGGTACTTTCAGCATTTCTCCAACACCACAACTCAAAAGCATAAACTCTTATTCAGTCTTCCTTTTTCATTGTCCAGCTCTCACATGCATATGAGGCAATTGAAAATACCATGGCTTGGGTTAGACTCACCTTGGTCTTCAAGGAGACATCTTTGCTCTTCATCACTTGAAAAAGGTCTTTTGCAGCAGATTTGCCCAATGCAATAGGTCTGATGTCTTGACTGCTGCTTCCGTTGGTGTTGATTGTAGAACCAAGTGATATAAAGTCTTTGACAACTTCAGTCCTTTCTCCATTTATCACAATGTGGTCCAGTTGTGAGCATTTTTGTTTTCTTTATATTGAGGTGTAGTCCAGGAGCTCTGGTAGCATAGTGGCTAAGACACTTGCCTGCTAACCAGACGGCTGGCGGTTCAAACCCACCAGCCACTCCTCGGAAGGAAGGTTGGGCAATCCTACTTCCGTAGTGATACTGCCTCGGAAACCCAAGGAGGGGTCACTATGAGTCGGGGCCGACTCGACGGCACATAACAACAACATAACAGTCCATACTCTAGACTGTAATCTTCAGTCTTCATTCATAAGTGCTTCAAGTCTTCCTTACTTTCAGCAAGCAAAGTTGTGTCATCTGGTATCGCAGGTTGTTAATGAATCTTCCCCTAAGCCTGATGCCGCATTCTTCTTCAGATAGTCCAGGTTCTTTGACCATTTGCTCAGCATACAGATTGAATAAGTGTGGTGAAAGGATACAACCCTGACACACTCCCTTCTTGATTTTAAACCATGCAATATCCCCTTGTTCTTTTCGAATGACAGCCTCCTAGTTTATGTACAGGTTCCTCATGAGCACAATCAAGTGTTCTGGAATTCCCATTCTTCTCAATGTATACATAATTTGTTATGATCCACACAATCGAATGCTTTTGAATAGTCGGTAAAACACAAGTAAATATCTTTCTAGGCATTCTTTGCTTTCAGCCAAGATCCATTTGACATCATTAGTGATATCTCTTGTTCTATGTCCTCTTCTGAATCCAGCTTACATTTCTGGAAGTTTTCTGTCAAAATACTGCTGTAACTGTTTTTTGAATTATTTTCAGTAAGATTTTATTTGTGTGGTATTAATGATATTGCTCAATGATTTCCACATCCTGTGGGATCACCTTTCTTTGGAATGGGTACAAATATGGATCTCTTCCAGTCAGTTGGCCAGGTAGCTGTCTTCCAAATCTCTTAGCATAGCCTAGTGAGTGTGCCTCTAGTGTGGCATGCATTTGTTGAAACAACTCAATAGGTATTCTGCCTTGTTTTTCT